GTGTGTGTGTGTGTGTGTGCGTGTGTGTACGTGCACGAACGGGCAGGGCAATGTGTTGAAGGAATATGGGCAGCAGGACACCCACCCACATGGTACAGGGCCCCTGCAAGCGACTGACGGGGGCATGCACAAACACACAGGCACACATATACAAGGAGGTCTTCTATATAACTCTAAGCGGAGCACTCCAGGGAGAGAGGAGGGAGAAGAGGGAGGAACAGGGGGAGGACAGGGAGAGGAGGACAGCACGGCGCACAGCGCCGCACGCGGTCCCCCCCTCCCCCGAGGAGATTACACCTCATGTGTTTGTGTGTATGTATCTGGAGGGAGAGAGAGAGAGAGAGAGAGAGAGAGAGAGAGAGAGAGAGAGAGAGAGGACGCGAGGGGGGAGGGCGGGTTGCCGAAGCACCCTCCCCCCTCGGTCCCCACGTGCGACCGGTGGTCTCTTACTCGGCGTCTTCGTCGGCGACGCCGGACCGGCTCCCACTCAGCTCGGCTACCTGGCACTGGATCTGCGAGGAGAGGAACTCCTCGAAGAGGATCTGCTGGAGCTCGGTCTTGGTCCAGGAGGACCCGCGATCCTGGGTCCGGCGATCGAAAGCCTGCAGACTGGACAGGTCCGACGGGGTGAAGGTGTCATCCTCTTCATCGAAGTAGGTCTCCAGGTAGGGGTGGCGAAGGGCCTCGGCGGCTGAAATGCGCCGGCGCGGGTCGAAAGTCAGCAGCCGGCTCAGCAGGTCCAGCGCCAGCGGCGAGGCATTGGGGTAGATCGTGGCGAAGGGGACCGCCGGGCAGCGCTCCATACTGTGTGTGTGTGTGTGTGTGTGTGTGTGTGTGTGTGCGAGCGTGGACATGTAAGTGGTCTTGCCGAGCAGGCGCGTGCATGTGCATCCCCTTCTCCCCCCGTCGCTGCTGGCCCGGGGCCGGAATGCGGGCGTCTTGCCCTCCCGGCACCCGGGCCCGCGCATGTGTGGATATCAGTGCAACGGCCAGGCACAGGGCAGGACACATACCTGTTGAGGTAGTCGCGCGCGCGTGCGCTGGCCACCCAGTCCATGTCCTGGGGCGAGGGGGTCCCGAGGACACCGACGATCAGCTTCAGCTGGTGAATGTAGTCACTGTTTCGCGAAGCGGAGAAGAGGGAAGGGTGCAGGAAATCACGGTGTCAATAGATGATGATGACGATGCTGATGCTGATGATGATGATGATGATGATGTGTGTGTGTGTGCGTGCAAGGGGGCAGGGGCAGACAAGGGGGTCCTCCGGAGTGGGAGGAAAAAAAAAGAAGAAGAAGAAAGGCCAGGCTGGGACATGGCGAAGAAATGGCTGCACGCACCGGCCGGGGAAAATGGCCTCACCGCCGAGCATCTCGGCCATGACGCAGCCCACCGCCCAGACGTCGATGGCGCGGGTGTACCGGCGCGATGTGAGCAGGACCTCCGGCGCCCGGTACCACCGGGTGGCCACGTACTCCGTCAGGAAGTCCGCCGCCGAGTCGTCATCGTCATCCTCCTCGCCGCCGACGCCGGCGTCCAGCTGCGAGGGGGGACATGCGCGCGCCAGGCCGAAGTCACACAGGCGCAGGTCGCAATTGCTGTTCAGTAGCAGGTTGCTGGGCTTGATGTCGCGGTGCAGGCAGTTGGCTGCGAGGAGGCCGAGCGCGATACGGGGCGGGGTTTTTTTTTTGTTGTTTTCCCCAGAAAGGCAGATGTGTGCGTGTCAGAAGTAGGTCGCGCAATCGCCGCCCGCTGACAGGGAGGCCACAGAGGCAGAGAGAGAGACAGAGAGAGAGAGAGAGCAAGGAAGAGGCACGGGGGCGGAGAAACAGAGCAAGGAGACGCCGCTCCCGGCTGGCCCTTCCCCCCCTGACGTACAAAGGTGGATGTACGCCACGGCGCGCAGGAGCTGGTACATGAAGTATTGGATATGCTCGTCGGTCAGGGGCTGGCTGCGGATGACCCGCTGCAGGTCGCTCTCCATCAGGTCCTGCACCAGGTACACCACCTCCACCCTGGGGGCCGGGTGGGCCGCCTGGCGGATGCGATGGACCAGGCGCGCCGGGTCGGCCAGCATGGCCTCCGTCACCCGGTCGAAGTTGATCCCCCCGCCGCCGTGGAGCTCGATGCGCCGGATGCCGATGATGTTATCATGGCCGAAGGCCCGGAGAAGGCGGATCTCGCGCACGGCCCGCGCGCAGGCCAGCGCATTGAACCCCCGGCCGATGGCATCGGCCCCGGGGTCGGCGGGGCCCCCGGCCCCGGTGGCCTGCGCCGCGCTCGACGCCCAGGAGAACGGGGCCAGGCGCTTGACAGCCACCTTCTCGCCGGTCTTCAGGTCGGTGGCCAAGCACACGAGGCCTGGCGTGTTGTGGGGCGCGCGGATGGGGGGGGGGGGG